GAGGCCTGTCCAGCTGGACAAATATTATTTTCCTCCGCTGACAGCCTCACCAGTTAAGCTTGTCCTTTATTATTTCTCCCCCTCTTCTTCTCTCTTACTGCTTACCCTCGTCATCATGCTCCCTCTGTGCCACTGTCTGAGAAAGGGTCTAAATGCAGGCACGGTTAAATTGTGGGAAGAGTTTACCTCTGTGGATTTCAAATTATTTACTATTGCAATAAAGTTGCAGCGAGGTTTAATGCAGGTTATAAAGTAATATCCCAAGCGCTGACATCTAACGATGCACTCCCCAAAAGAATGCAAAGAACACGGTGCAACTGAAACCCTACCATGACACTTTCCACCTATCAGCTGACAGGTGTAGCAAAACAAACATTAGTCAGAGAAGTGGCCAACTGACCCAGGGTAACTATGGGAAAGCAGGAGAAATCGACAACTCAGGTGGGAGAATCTGCTGACAGAACAACAATCAGTCATGAGACCACTTTCCTGTCTCTCTGTGTGCTGGTGTTATCTGTCTGCAGAAATCCTGAATTTATGGAAAAATGGAAAGAAGAAAGATGTTGTTCAAAGAAAGTCAAAAGAACCTTTGTTTGTGGTTTTCCAAAAGTTATGAATGTTGAAAAAGATGCCATGATCGTATCAGATCTCAATAAACTTTTCGATCCACATGCCGAAGAGCCACAGGGATTATAAAACATAATCACTACATTTATATATGATGGTAGTGGCCTCATATTAAGGGGATGTTTTTCAGCAAAGAAAATGGAATGTGGCCGGGGTTGTTGGGAAGGTGAAATATAGCTATATACAGGGCAATCCTAGAAAACAACCATTAGACTGCAAAAGATTTGAGACTGGAACAGAGGTCCACCCAAGGATAACCACCCAAAACAGTCTGAGCTTCAATGGAGGTATTTTCATGGAGTTTACACCTAAACCTAAAAGTTAAAGTTCACAGAATGATACACTGATACACTGTCTGTCTCTTCACACTGATTGAGTGAGCATGAGTTAAAAGTTTAGTCCAGATGTGTCGACCACAAACCACTCTCAACTTTACTTGTTTGTGGTTCTTTCAGATTTCACTATGCTTTGCCTTTTCTTTGGACGTCATAATTTTGCAATTAGAACCTAAAATCCAATTAAGATACATACATTGGTGAAATTGGTGTAATGTGACAAAATGTTTTTTTTTTTTTTTTTAAGGGATATCTGAAAGACATGTTATGAATTAAATAAGTTAAGTTTGAATATTTCTGTGTGCTGGTGTTATCTGTCTGCAACACAATATTGATTTGTCTATAAATGCACACATTTATTGACAGTTGGTTTGACTATCCATTCTGTTGGGTCTCTACCTCCTGCTCCGCTAACATCTCTTCAGTATGACTGTGTAAGATTCACAAGGCAGCACACAGGGCCTCATTAGCACAGCACTTTAAATCATCCAGTCTCCACTGTCTTGTCATTAGCTCTTTAGAAAGCAGATGTTAGATGAGCCCCTACGTGTTTTAAAAATTTGCAACGGGGACAACTGGGCTCGGCACTGAGACGCAGCCTGCCTGAGACGTCAGCCTCACCACTGTTAGAACATGGGAAAGGTACGTAGCCTTACAGATATGCACACACTTTTATACACACAAACACACACGCATGCGTGCACACACACACACCACTTTCCTGTCTCTCTTGCTGCTGCTTGCCTACTCCAGCTAGGCTACCACACAGGCCCATTTACAGTAATGAATTTGTCCTGAAATATTCAGCAGCAGATCCCCCAGGCTGCCGCTTTAAAACTACTTAGAACATGTCAAGTTACAGTCAACATTATTTCAAAGTGAGTACCTAAACAGCCTCTTTTCAGGAAACATAATAAATTAAACAGGTGCATTTTCTAAGATCACAACAGTTCCGAAAATCTCAAAGCTTATCCCAGGGGCAGGGGATTGCTTAAAAGGGTGATCTCACAGATCTCAAAGCAATTATGCATTTTCCCGGTACCTAGTGCCATTTTATAACACAACTGAGTAACTATGTTACCTTCAGTTATTATATGAATGCTGTATGTTTCAAACAAGACTTCAAATGGATCTGATGCCAATTTCATCCTGGCTTAAAGTTTTGATTTTTACAGCAAGGAAATTAAGTAGTTCATCATCTACACTTTTTCTTCTGTCAGTTGTTCTATATAGAGTATTCCTATCTATGGCTTTAAATGTGACCAATTAAATGCACCACTCATGAACCACGGACGGCTGCAGCCACCACTTTCCAAGATTAAATAGTGACAGTTTTGGAACTGGTTATTCTTTGTGTAACACCTTATCTTAAATTTAAAGTCATGTTAATACAAAAAAAACAAACAAAAACTATTTAGCAGTTTGGACAACTCTCTTCTACATTCTATGTGACTGGAGCATAGACGCCCTTTAAGGGTGGAGCTGCCCCCATGCTCTTTTCTGTTACCTTTGGTGTCCTTTAGTTGCAAAGCACTGGGTTCACTTTATGTTCATTGGAAGACTAGCAAATGATGCTAAATTTAGTTGGAAATCGTCTGCTCATTGTTACTTTTGTGAATAAATCTTCAACTGCAAATAGCTAACTGACAAAAAAAAGTGGACTAAGTGTTTCACTTGTTGCAATTTAAAAAATGAAGTAAAAACAACTTCAAATAAAGATTGACTAATGCTGAATCAATTCAACCTATATCTCCTGCTACCAGGGAAAGACAGCAGATAGGACTCAGTTAGCTCTAAGCCTGTACAACTACAGAGGAAGTCATGACAGATCCCTACAGGTTCCATCCATGCTCTCATTCCGCCATCATCCATCCCCACCGTGCAGGGACAGCTGGTGCCTTTTCCATCGCTCAGTCCATCACCAGGCAACTTAGAGGCAAATAAGAAAAAACAACAATGCACACATGCATTCACCCCAGAAACAATTGAGAGAGACCAATTAACCTAACATGTGGGATTCTGGCTGGACTTGATTACCCAAAGTGAATCCAGGAGTACAGACAAGACTACATGCGAGTCCAAGACAAGTAGCCCAAGGCAACTATGAAGACAAATGTGACCTTGAAGCCTAAGATGTTCCATATCAACCTAATTAGTTCAGAAGAAGGGTGAGTCAATTTCCAACCTCAACAAGGGGTGCAAGTATAGAAAATGTTGCTATCCAGGCTCCACGTGGTTCAGACATCCCACAGATGCTAAATTAATTGTTGTGGTCCTCAAACCATTTCTGAGCTATTTTTGTTTTGTGACAGTATCCTTTTTAATGCTGAAAAAAAAAAAAAACAGATGAAAGGTATTTGGACATCCTGAGTGGTCTACAGCTTTGGAGTCCCCAATGCTAACAAACTTAGATGCTCTGAGTAAAAAGAAGCATTTCTATTAGAACAAGCATTATCATCAGCAGCAATTTGAGCAACAATAATTAAACCACAAGTTTTTGCTCCTGACGTCTACTTCATGTGAATTTCCCATTTCTCCAGCTAACAGCTGTTTCTTCAATGGACAAGTTTTTATAGATACTGACAAGTGAAAACTTAAAACAAACAACCTAGAGAAGCTGTATTTCTGGAGGAGTTTTAACAGAGGCACTAAATCCTCCCAACTTGGTGCTTGTCAAATTCATTCAAAAACCTGGCACTACACAATTTCTCCAGCTTCTAACTCATCAAATCTGCTGAAAAAAAAAAAGAAACAATCACTTCTATTCATATCATCAGTTTGCTAGTGGTCATAATGATATGTTTCACTGAAGTGTTTTTCACTTAATGCAGGGGGTAAATTTAAAACACATTCTTGTATGAATTCAAGTTCTGATAACTAATGTTGCACTTAGTTTTCTTTTACATAGATGCTACAGTTAACTGTTCTGCACAAAATACAAGAAAATAATTTTTAGAAATACAGTTTAGAACGTGAAAGCAACTGCATCTGATTTCCCACATTTATTACTTGAAAAATGTGTTGCAGTCCTCCTCATAGAATCAAATATAATGTGACTCTAGAGAAATTGGAACTGACGCTTTTTTTTATTTCTAGGAGCTGACACTGTCAAGTCTTCTGTTTCAAAATGTCTGACATCTTTTATAGATTCAATTCAAAAATTAAGAAAAACAATCCAAACAACATTAAGAAAATATAACTGCATAAAAGCTGCCACAAGTACCGTTGATAAGATAAGCTGTTAATCATTAACACAAGTATTTTAGCTTTGAAGCTGCTCGGCTGCCTGATCGCTCGCACACGTGCATGTCAGCGGCAGACTTGTTGACATTCACAAGCTTGTAGAAACGCAAGCACACCCAGAGCTCAAGAAATTGGATCTGTCTTCATCTTGTTTTGGAAAGGGTCCATTACTTGATCAAACGTTGAGAACCAGTTGCACCCGTGTAAAATACGCATTACAAGCGTACCGTTCGCTTATTATTATTTTTTTAATAGTCAAAGATAACATTAACAGCAGAAGTGTTATTATTGTGTTTTACCTCTTCCAAGCTCCCTGTAGATCCAATCCGTGCTAATGCTCTACAGCAGCGGTTCACGTCATCTGAAGCTACTTCCAGTTTATATTTATTCGCGACAGTAATTTACAACTGCAACAAAACTACTAAAGGAAAGCACGAAATGTGTTACCATGGAAAATCATTTCGTTTCATTCCCTCGAAAACTCTGTTGCTACCACTATGAATATAAATAAAAATATATATATTACGGTTGACAGACAGCAAACTGCATGCAACTCTCTGGGATAAATTTGGCTGAATTATTCTGGTGAAGGTTTAGCTAACGTGTACCCGTTGTTCAAGCACAGCGATAATCCTTGTTATTTTTGGTTACTTCCGGGAACTGAAAGCGTCCATGACAACAACCCGGAAGTAGCTTTGTGAAAGCTTCCGCTGTGTGGAGCGTACCAACTTGCAAGACTAAGAGGTTATGACTCTACTTTATACACTCAAAAACACGCATTTGATTGATAAAAACTCAAATTTAGTGTAGCGCTACATTATGCACGCGTATTATTTTATATTTACGTGACGATTAAGTAACTTAAATCGATGTTTTAAAAACAACAACGCGTCTACTCGTGAAAATCACCACCTCTATATCTGTAGATCAACTGTGGCTTGGATGTTGTTTCACGTTTGCGGAGTGAAACACGAGCCTGAAACATAAATATCAGGGTGTTTACATTAAGGCACAAAGTCATTGCGCATATTTGTATTTATTTTTTTATGGCAACGTTTAATATGGTATTAAAGGGAATAACAGCACAGTGACTGACCACAACACCGCTGCCATTGTCAGATGTCTGTTTTACTATCAGAGTTTTGGCGCGCCTGGATGTGATCGGAAGTCACCGCCTGTGGCATGAAAAAGGTACTTGTTTAATAGTTTGCATTTCCATACTCATCAATATCCACAGCATGCATTTGCGTACTGGGTGGGATGTGTGTCAGAAAAATTAATGCCGTATGAAAAGTACGGCGTGACAGTCGATGACAACTTCATTGACAATCGCAGGTCCATAACTATCTGTTGTGGACAGGCGTAGTGGGGATCACGTGATGTTGTCAGTGATTATAGATCAGCTGTTGCTCACCTGGGTGATCTTAGTGAGTGGGTGATGGGGAAGGTTTACTTTTTGCTGACCGCATCAATTTAGCACATTTTGTCCTTATTCACTGTTTTTTCTACGGATCCGTTTTTATGTTGTGTGGACACTGTGAAGTTTTGGATATTGACAAAATAAATCAACTTAAATGCAACTTGGATTGCGTTTTTGATCAGCTGGCGCGTCAACAAAGATTCCCCTATTCAGCCGCTCGGCGACCTGGTTTGACAGTCGCTAATACTATCCAATCAACGCGACACAAAATATCAACACCGAGTTAAAGGATACAATACAACTAAACAACCAATATTTTTCTTTGCAAAGGCTGAAGAGGTAAAAGAGGTAAAATATTTTGAACTGTACATGCTGATGCGCACATGCAAAATTAGAAAGAAAAAAAAGATTATGTTGTGACATCAAGGTTCAAAGAGTTAAAAAGAATTTGGGAAGAAGTGCAGTTACCAGTTCGTTGTTTGTAAGGAACACATATTGATTGCTTCAGTATTTTAGTTGCTGAGAAGAACTTTTGCTCTGGGATGTTTGTTAAACAACCGAGCCTGTTCATGCTGTCACATTTCATTGACAGCATGAAATGATCTGAAATGCCCATAGGATTATATCAGGATTGTTTCAAGTTCTTTGATGCAAATTTTCTGCAAAAAAAAATACATAAATTCCAAGAATATTTTATCTATTCTTATATTGAACGAATTCTCATTTAACTAAAAAAAAAACTACATCAGAGTGCACACTGTTGGTTGTTTTTTTGTTTTTTACAGACTAAAAATGGTGGAAGTATTTTGCTTATGTTTTTGAAACTGTTGAAAATCATTGAAAACAATAATTTTCAACATTTTGTCTGCTCATTTCTGATCAGAGTATTGGGCAGTAAGTAAAATTTGTCCACAGTTGAATGGTGCATCTCTGCCTCCTCCATTTTGGGAAAGATAAAAATGTGCCCACAAAATTATTCTATTATGCTACTAATTTCTATTCATACACATTCTTAATTTTTGATCTGCAACATAAACGTAGACAATCATTTTTGATTGTGAGCTACTGACATGTTGTACAGATAATGCAACAAGGCCCTACCTATTTCACTGCACACTTGGCATTTTAGCCCTCTATGACCAATGTATTAAACTGCAACTGAGAATCTTTAGCTCTGTTTGTTTTAGACAGGGAAACAAAGGATAGAAACTTCCCTTTCAGTGGGATTTTTTTTTCAAACACGTCAAAGGTTGCACAGATCACAAATTGTGCTGTAAAGAACGTGTGTTTAGTGGCTAATCCAATTTCGAAATGGATAATTTTGAAATGCATAGTTTAAAGGCACTCTTCTATAGCACACCAAAGCCCACATTCGATGGAAACCACACATATATGTGTTACAATAAAAAACGGAAAAGGAACTTCTGAGATAAATGCAACTGCAGACAGGAAGGATTGGTTTACTGTAGTTGTAGTGTAACATTACACTGGAGCTGCTGGATAACATAATCTGCTTTAACAAGTTAAACAAGTTGAGTCCACTTATGACCTGGGTGTGCAAAATGCTAAATGTTCTGCCAAGTTGACGAAGAAGCTACAATTAGGGGTGGACAGTTTGTACTGTCAGGTTACAGAAAAAAACTATAACCTGACAGTTATAGTTTTGTACTGTGGGAAGAAGCCCACCCATGCATGCAAAAGGAGAACATGTAAACTCCATGCAGAAAGATTCAAACCCAGGACTTTGTTGCTGCAAGAGGGCAATAGTGCTACCAGTTTGCTCACACTCCCAGTAAAGGACAATTTAGACTGCTATATTTAACTGCAAGAAGAAGCCGTAGAGAACCTAACCAAATTTAATGATAACATTCAAGCACCGCCAACAGTTGCAGCTTCCAACTTGTCCCGCAGGAGGAATAACTTTTGAAACACCAAAGCTCCAACCTTCTTATATAGTTCTTACGAATATATGGAATCACTACCTCTACGTAGTCCAGGCTGTATAGGTTATTTGTCTTTCTGCTTTGTGTGACAATCAACTAGTTAGCTATTTATTCTAAGTGTTACAGCATAATATTGTTCAGAGACTAATGTGACTGTCATGCCTGCCTGTACATTTACATACACTTTAACCTTATTTTCTGCTGGTTTTCTTTTCAGAATGGAGAGCTACACACATGTTTTCCAGATCTCTGGGATCAAAGCGCAGGATAAAAAGAGAGTTTTGATTAAGGGCATTTATCAGCTCGGTGGAAAATACATTGGTGGCTCAGTAAGTTGACATCCTTAAAGTTATGTTGCATTTTTAATACAACAATTAACCTTTTTTTTTTCTGCTATGACCTCTACTGCTAACAGCTGCTTAGTTTTACCAGTAACCTTCAAGCCTAAAGGAATCACGACAGATACAACACACGAGAGACGGCTTTAGTTTTGGCACTTCACAAAATCAGAAAGTCTGTCAATTTCAAGCCGCTAAGACAGTTATGTTGTCTATAATCCATAAGTGCTATTTTTTAGTACCTTTGTAGTTATTCTCACAAAATTCTGCTTAATAGCTGAAATAAGGTGAAACAAGCTACCAGTAGATATTATGAAGTGCTGTATATTCAAATACCTGTGTGGTCATACATAGCACTTTGATGCTTCTTGATATTTCATAATGAATATATTTAATGTGTTCTTTCATGCTTAGTTTGCCCCAAGAAATGTGAATTCATTTACCTTTCATTAATCCCATTTACTTGAAGCTTTGCTTGTGTATTTCACAGGTATACAAGCACTGTACCACTCATCTCATAACCCCCCAGGTTTTGCCGAGTGAGAAGTTTTTGGCAGCTTGTGCGGCAGGTCTGTCAGTGAGATTATGGTTGAATATTTGCTGATGTCTTAAAATATCTCGTTTTCTTTTTGTTTTTACCTTAATTTTACATAACGGGTCAATTGTTTTTTATTCTACTCTTGACTGTAATATTTGTTTATTTCACATCCAATTTTAAGTGGTGTTGCTTCTGCCTCCCAGGGAAGTGGGTTGTGACTCCAAACTATGTGTTGGAAAGCATGAAGAATGGCTCCTGGCTGCCCGAGGGACCCTATGAAGTGGCCATTTTTACCAGCTCCTCATCTGCCTTTTACCCCGTCAGACAGTGGAGGGAAAAGGTAGCCAAAGGTAGAATAACCGGTGCTTTTCAGGGCTGGAAAGTTCTTCTCATGGTCCAAGAGCCCAACAGGAGAGCCATGTTCAAACGGTGAGATTCCACCTTGATATAAGTTCACTCAAAAAGCACTCATGTATGAATGATGTTCACTCTTTTTTTTCTCATCCAGGCTGCTGAAAGCTGGAAGAGCAGAAGTGTACAACTGTCCTCCACCTACCTACACTTCCATCACTCATGTCATGGCGAAACCTATGACGGAGAAATCAAAATCTCTTAATTCACCTTGCTACCCTGTGAGCCACATAGTCCAACACCTCTTCGGGGTACGTTAGTGTTAAGTTTCTGCTAAACATATGACACCAACAGCTGGTGTATAGTACTTACAACCCTTTTACTTTTCTAGAAAATTTTATGTTGCTGCCCCAAAACTCCCTGTGTTTTATTTTGGATTTTACAGGCTTGACTAACATAATGATGCATTGTAGTGAAGTGAAAGGAAAAATATACAGGTTCTGTTCTGTTAAGTCATTGGAGGTTTTTTTTAAAAGACCATTAGCTAGCAAAAAGTAATCCTAAAACCCACACCCACACACACACACGCGCACACACGCACACACACCCACACACACACACACACACACACACACACACACACACACACACACACACACACACACACACACACACACACACACACACACACACACACACCAGTCAGATCAGGAGTAAAGTTGTAGAGTTTAACAGGGTTAGTTCATGAAATCAACTGTCGAGACATGAACATCCAGCTAAACTGGCTGACTGGGCAAGAACAACGTTTTTTCAGAGAAACAACTAAGAAGCCTTAGTGACTCTGAAGGAGCTGCAGAGATCCACTGATCAAGTGAGGAAATTTGTGAGGAGGATACCTGTTGGGTGTTCACGTCACAAATCTGGTCTTCTCATGAGAGTGGCAACATTGTTAAATTGATAAAAGAAAACCAATAGAAGTCCTTGAGGTTTTTCTCACATGCCAGGTAACACAGCACACATTCAAGAAGATGCCCTTAGTTCTGCATGAGTAGGAAACGAGCACCTACCACTGGCCAAATGCGGGTAAAAGTATAAAGTGTCGTGTAAATTGGAGCAACGCACCCCCCACTGTGGCGGGTTGACTATTTGAACAGAAAAAAAACAAAAAACGGCTGCATTCAGTTTCAGCTTCTGTCTCGGGTAGGAGTGGTTGACTGGGACGGACCTTGCCTGTTATAATTGAACAAAAACAATGGAAACAAATCTCATTTTTATCGACCGCGGCAGCCCGTTGACTGATTTCATTGACGGACGTCGGGCTTATCCAATGAAACCCTTCAGTTTTATTGATAACCGACGTTATGAAAAGCACCGTTTCAGCCAACAGTTAGCTGCTAACTGGAGTCCCAGAAAAGTGAGCGGTCACAGGACGGACGGGTCAGGAAACACTACAACCGAGTGCATAAGTCCATTCAGAAAAATGTGTCAAACTATGTTAATTACCACACAGTAACGTCACGAAGGTATTAATATTGTAAACTAAAGGTGGGGAGGGAGAGAAGCTGATGTGGGAGGGGAATAAAGGGGGATATAAAATGCAGTAGGTAACATACAGTAAAATTAGGTAGTTTCTGGAAAAACTGGAGGTTTGACAGGTATGAGGTTATCATTTGGTTCTCCTGGTGGAATTTATAATTGAAGGAGAAAAAAAACTGTGGCTGATGGAGAACATTTTTAATTTCCACCCCTGGGTTCAGCCCAAGGAGGAGCTTTCCAGCTCGCCTCTTGGTCGCGCAGCATGCTGGTTTTATTTTAATTTTATTTTTTTTTAATTTTATGTTGCCTTTCTTGTTTGACAGAGCAATCACCTGGATATGAATTTTAACAAAATGGATGATCTTCCGTCCGAGACAAAAGCCAGTTGTCTTGAAGACTTCTCTAATCTGGAGGCAGAACTCAGGAACTTTGCTGTCAAAAAAGAGGTGTGTTTATTATTGCAGCTCATTCCAGAAATGCACTGAAGTGCAAAGTTTAAACAGGATTTGAAAATAACTTCTTTGGTCTACATTCTGCTTGCTTAATTGACCTTGTTCACCAGTTTGGTTCTGAGCGTTTTAAGGTGTTTTCTCTTTGCAGGGCCGGCCCAGACTGTGCTTTCTTGAATTTCTAGGTTACAGTGACCCTCATCGTCCCTTCACACAGGTAGGTGTGCATACATATCAACCCCAAGCCACAATCACTGCGATACATTCATCTGCAGGATAACTCTGTGTTTCATCAAGCAGATCAGGTCATTCAATTTCCTTTATGTCATACATTTCAATGGAAAGTGACATCAAGCGCAAGGGCGCATCAAAACCAGGTCACTGATTTAACCACCTCTCTCCACTGATCTGAGCGTTGTGATTGGCAGACCTATTAACAATACTCTCCACCGTCCTGTCCATACTTTACCCAAGTGGATGTCTGTCAGATTGCTATTAGAACTACTCTTGTATTTCCATTCAGGACGTTCTGAGTCCATATGCTATTTGCCAATAAGCGATGGTCAAAAATGACCCTCAGGAACTTCTGATGCCAACTCACAACTCATTTCGATTACCCTCCTGCCCTGCCGTGTCTCTTCTTTCTGCCATCTGTCTCTTTGAGTGCCATGTTTTTTCCTCCCTTCTTTCCATATACTTCTTCCATTTCACCATTGTTCTGTTATTCCTCCAGGCAATTGTAGCAGATTTAAGCAACGTCAGTAGTATGATAGAGTGCGGCCTAGTCAGCGAGGCCTTGGATTCAATCAGAAATGCAGTGTTTCCAGGCGTGTTGCCCCCAGTGATGTACCTGATCTCCCTCATAGAGTACGCACAGCAGGTAGGAGTGGAAAAACCTGACTGCACAAATTCCCACCTGCGGCTTTGTGAGACGAAAGGGTTGTACAAATAGATCACTGGCTGCATCACGTTTAAATGTTGATGGATTGTATGTTGATTGATGACAGAGTAGAATTGTTTTGTGTGTTTTTGAACCATTAAAGAATGCTCAAGTAAACCATGTACAATAGAAAAGCCTTATAGTGACAAGTCATCTGTTGAAAAGAGCAGCCTGATTAATTTTCCAGTGATCAATTGATAATATTGCGGATTCGGTTTATTTTGACACAGGATCTCTGTCCAAATACTCAAAGCAACTAAAACTCGCTTTTTGTGTTTACATTACAAAGGGTAACGCCACGTCCCTCTTTCTGAGAAATTTCCATCATGTTATGGTAAACCTGCTCATTACAAATCCTCCATGGCTGGCTCAAAATTCAGTAAAAAAATACTATGCCCAAGTGCTGCAGTGTCCTCAGTGCAAGATGGGCTTATGGCCTCTTTTAGAGACTGCAATCAGGTAAGCCTGGAGTCAGTGAGATTTCTTGCAAAATATGTCTTTCCCTTTGTTAAACACAACAATAATTATATTTTACTTTGTGGGACATTAAACAACCTCACCATTTGTGCAAAGCTAATATAACATGATTTTATATTTTCATGTGTGATCCACAAGATACTGCCTGACAAACAGCGACACCTGTCACCCACACCCTGGACCCGCCTTGCCAGCCTTGGTACATTTCTACTGTGACATGCTTGCATTTTGCCTCATGCTTCTCAAGGGTGAACTTCACTCTGTCAATAGCAGGTAACATCTTAAGTCAATATACATGTTCATTTTTTATTTTTTTGTATGGAAATAAGAGAATGTTTAGAATGTGGATAAAACATTTGATTTTGATTCTGATTTTTGATTCTCTGGTTTTCCACTTCTTAATTGTTTTTTCTGCATTTGAAAAACATCTTTTTACCCCACTCTCACTTTTACAATACCACTGGGGCATCTTTGACATTAATGTTAATTTATTTAAGTAATTAAATTAAAAAAGCGAAACAATTTCTAATTTTATAGACATGTCTATTATACCTAAAACAATTTTTCATGTTAGTTTTTTTCCTGTTACTTCTGCCTTACAGTTAACAAAACCCCTAGAACTCTTAACTTAAGAATATTATCTCCAAAAATATATATAATCAAGAGGAAGACTGCTATATCTTCTAATTTTAGAAAACCTGTAAAAGCTTATTGCTTAACAAGCAGCTATTCATCATATCGAAACATAATAATTGAAAGTAGAGAGGAAGAAAAAAAAAACTTTCCTTGTATCATTACTCTGATGAACAATAGAACATTTGAAGAACGTCATGTGTAGTTAAAAAATAAAAATACTAGACTGATACTCAACAGTCCAAAGTCCCCTTTGGAAATGGAAGTAAATTTTGCATTTCATTTAGAGAGTGAAGTGAAAAGTGCAGACCCACAAAGTCTAAGATGCTTGATTCTTAGATTCTGTTTCCACAGTCAGGGAGGATTTAGGGAGTCATGTCATCTGCTGCTGTTTCACAGCCGTTTTAAATTTTAAAGCTCCTCCTTCTTTCCTCTGTGACTAAGTTCTATTGAGTCACAGACATTCCAGTATAATTTGCCAGTTATCCAGTACTGCACCAATTTTAATCAGTGAGACTCTTAAACGTATATCTTTGTGTATGATGACTCTATGAACTAGAATAATCTTGTTTTTTGAATTAGATTGGCTGAAATAAGTGATGTTTTTATTTATTGAGATGCACCATAATCATATCTCTGTCTTTATCTCCATCAGAGACTTTATGTTTCCTAACCAACCCAGAGCGTCATCTGCATCAGCTTCTGGTTCATTACTCTATGGGACTTTCTGGACCGTGTGGGAACGAACAACACTGCTGTCTTGCACCGTGAAAAAGCTTCTTCAGCTCCTAATAGAAGCTGCCATTATGGTAAATACTGTCAAATTTCCATTGGATAAAGGTCAGGCATTCACCTAATGCATCTATTAAAAATGTTCTTCTGTAATTGATGTCATTTATAAAGCTTGCTTTTATCCAGAGTCTGATGTTTATTCTTCCTGAAGGAATTTGCTCAGGGAGCAGAGAAGCGGGAGCTGTATTTGGCAGACACTCTGCTGGATCTTCTGTCTGTGTTGGTGGAGTTTTGGTGTCAGCAGCATTTTAAACTTAATCAGAGTCTGGTGGAAAAAGGCCTCAAAGACCTCTCGGAGCACCTTGCCGTTCTCAGCCAGGGTACGGATGAATAAAAACTGGATTTTGTCTGTTGGGAGTCTAAATATTTGCCTTAAATTGTTAGAATTTGTACTTTATTTTAATTGCTGTGTAATTGCTTCTCTTAACACCTTTATATGCTGAAACTAATAGATGTTTCGTCTGCAGTGAGCATATAAATGCTGAAGAGAGTCTAGCTTATCCTTTGACTTTTTTTGAAACCATCATTATTAACAAAATAATATAATCCAAGATACTATGTTTTGTGTTTTCACCTTTAGATCTGTGTCCAGCTGTTTTGGTAGAGCTGATTTGCAGAGTTCACTCCACCAGGCTAAAGTTGGTTGTAGTTGATGCCATCTTCAGGAATCTCTGCTGCAGAAATGGCTTCACTGTTGTCGATGAACCTCTCTCTCTCAAGAAAATGGTAAGTGTTTACCACAGAAATGTTGCATTTTTTAAAGTGTACCATAATCATATGTTGATGATACAGACAAAATATCTGATTGTTTTTTTTTTTTTAATAACAGAACTATTAATTCCAGAGATCTGCACAAAAAAAATTAGTCAGACCCAATAAACCTACATTATTCATTGCTTTTTGGCCCAATGAAAGGTTTTAAAATACCAATAAAACATTACATATGCTTTCATGCAGAAAATACTGTATTTTATTGCATGAGAAAGTGTATATTATTTTGTGTTGTATTTAACTATTATGAACCTATCTTTTCTTGGAACTTGTCATGTTTTGACAAGTTTTGACATTTTTAATACTACTTTGAAAAATCCTAGTTGATTTTCAGATGAATGGACTTGTACAGTTCACGGTATTTAGTATAAATGTCTTTATATTCTAAATAAATACACCTGATATCTATATGTAAGGACTGATTACCAAAACAAAATGTTCCATTGATCACATTTTCTGTACATCTTGTCCCCGGTGGGGGTGCTAACATCAAATTATTACTATCCAATTTATTTTTTATTATTTTAATATTTATTTATCTTTTGGAAAAACACTATTGTCTTTTTTTATGTTCCTATGATTTAAAGTTTTTTTATTATGGTACCAGACAAAGTGCTGGAGCGACCAGAGTTTTCTCAGATTATAAGGGTAACTTAGAGTTGCCTCCTATCCCAGCTGTTGTTACGCAGTGCCCATCTGGTGCTCCAAAAAAAAATCTCCTGCATTTTTGCGTCTCCTTACATCAATAAAAAGATTTGGCTACTTTTGGAAGGGAAAACACAAAAACTTGTTTCAAGGAAACAGGAAGTTTCACCTGTCACTCTGAATACTGCTGCTATAAAGCATCAGGTAGCAAACTACAAACGGCAAGCTGGTGGACTTCAGGCTGCTGCCCTTGTCTTTATATCAAATGTTGCTTTTGCAGCATTTCATATCTTTTGAAATGCTGGCTATCTTTTTTTAAATAATGGAAGTTGTATTATGCTATAGTTATATTCCTATGGTTGATTTACCAAAGGTCATCATCACACAAGGAGAATCTCATACCGTAGCTAGTTAAGGGCTGGTTATCGGTGGTTTCTGTGGGCCGTTATTTTTCTGCAATAAACAAAAAGCCAGAAGTAAATTTGATGTTCTTGCACCTTAAAAGTTTGTTGATTCTATGTTCATCATTTTGGAAGTAAATCAACAACATGTTGTATCACAGTGCCAACATCTGGTTGCTATAGCCACTCAGTTTCACAAGGATACTCCCTTCCACTCAAAGTGTACAAATACTGTCTAACCTCATATGTCACTTCCAACAGGTGTGTTCTTACTTGCCTGCTCTGGGAACGTTAGCTCAAAGTCCCAGCTTTGCTTCCTGCAAGACTGGGAAAACCTCCCACAGCTGTACGAGTCAGGGGACCAGCAGGTCAGTCAGTCACAGTTTGTCTTTATCTTTAACACAGAGGTGCCAGAGACAGTTGTCTTTGAATATAAAATATGTGTTGGAATTATTGAGAGCTCTCAAGTTACAGAAACAGAGCCTTCATATGCCTATTGAGTCTAGATGGTTGCATCACTCATCGTCACAGTCTTTGTTGGATTTGGTGCATCTGAAATAACAGACCTCCTCCAGCACTGTGCGATACTGCTGTCCTTTGTCAACGAAAAAAAAAAAAAAAAAAACAGGTGATAAAAGTAAAGATGTGATGGGAAAATTGAGTGAAAAGGAACAAAGGAACACCTGGAGGGAGGAGGAGGTGAGAAGCAAAGTTGCATGAATTTATTGGAGGGGTGCTGTGTGGGCTTTGAGATATCTGGAGCCAGGCAAATAAAGGTCAAAGGGAGCGTGAGGAGCTGGCATGCGATGGGTTATGCCCAGGTCCAGTGCTTGCTGACAGGAGGGGCTCCCAAGGAGGATAAGCCTAGACACACGTGTCCTCTCTCACACTGCCTTATGATTTGGTAGATAGGGACTGAGTAGATAGACTACCATTAGGGTCTTCAGTCTACCCTTACGACCACCACCTCTCAGCCCACACTCCCATTTTTTCTTTACCTTTTCTTGCATATTAAATCCCTTGTCTTGATGCAATCGCACACACACAGAGTCTCTCTCCCTCCTTACCCGTATCAGACATCTGCTGTTTCACCAGCAGGTAGTTGGCCCAGAGTAAGGCAGAAGTCACCAGGGAGCAGGTTCATTTGAAGGCTACTGGTTCATGAACTGACCAAATCTCTCTCCTCCTCCCCTCATTCTCTCTTCTGTATCTGCTACCCTTCCTACTTTCTTTGCACTTTTTCTGCTTTTAGTTAATTTTGACACATGCATGAGCGGAACCGAAGGAAACGCGGAATGCAGTCTGCGCGGATGAGATAAAGAAATGCCAAAGGGCATGTAAAATCATTTGACCCCAAAAGAAAGAATGAAGCCACAATGACAGAGCCTGTGATAAATTGAAGACAGAAACGAAAAGCAAATCTTGTTGCTTCATTTTTCATGCTTGAATTCATTATATTGTTCAGAATTTCATTGATCTTGGCATTTCCAATCAATTAGCACATGTTATGTTGAAGCATTTATTAAGTCTGGCACTTTTCTGAAACTGAACCGTCTATGTTTAGACAGCTGGAAATATTTAAATTATTAAAGTCTTCGATGCAAAAAACAAAAACCTTAAATGCAAGAATGCGTGACATTACAAAATACATAATATGAGCCTTTAAATATGTCACATTTTATTTACCTCGGATGTGTGATTTCACTAAAAAAGTTACATGTGTTAAATGGATTTCCAACTGAATACTGCCAGTATGTTTGGTTTTGGATATGAAAAGAAGGTTGTAAAGAGACATGTGACCCTTTTCTCATGCATTTCTGCCTGATGGCGCACATAAGACTTTTGAGTGAACGTGTGTATGCGCTTATATGTGAGACGGCGGACGTTTTTCTTCCGCTCCAGCGGAGGAGCTGCAGCGAGGGCTTGTGTCCAAGCTGCAGCGAGCTGACAGGGCGACTGATTGACCGACTGTTTAGATGACCGTTTAACTCGCCGGCTGGCCACGCAGCGCTGAGCGCTGTTAGCAGAAGGGAAGCTGTAATTAAACTGAGATAAACCCCCTGCTGGTTTAATCAGGCCTTTCGCGTTGCTCAGTTGCCGACATCTTTTAAAGCACCTGACGGTGTCATTGGATTTGTCTTGTATGTCAAACTCCCTGGGAAAAAAAAATAAAAAATTCTGGTTCTCTATTCTTGGATGACGTTCAGTCATCTCCATATTTTTCTCCATATTTAGTTATTTTATGACTTTTTCCTTATAGTTAATCCAAAAGCAAATATTCAACTCATAAAACGGCGAAAAAGTGAAACAGCTGACAGAGTCTGTTTCAGAGTTGCAACTCCAAACATTTTTTGCTTGATGTTTACTTCAAAGTTGAGATTTTTTCTAATATTGTGTTCCTTATGTGTAAAATTAAGAACTGCTTTATGTCACTTTTAGGTGAAGATTTTCCATCATGCATTTTTTTTTAGTATGAACTGGAAATGAATTGCTTTTCTTATTGCTTAGGTTTTCATTATGAAGTCTTCATCCAAAGTCAAACTCTGCTCTGGGTCCAGATCTGATAACTGTACCATTGCCAGCTTCCCTTCCTCCCAAACCAAAAACTAAAATACACAAGCCCTATACAATGCCTTCAGACCTTATTGCGGGTTGATGCGGACAGAGGGACACTTGGGGGAGGAAGGGGTAGGGTGGTTCGCGATGAGAAGAGGTACACTCTCATCATAGACTGCATTATGGAGTCTGCCTCGCATTCGCACACACACCCGCAGCTTGTCTCATCTGTTCTCGTCCCTGTCCTTGCTAATAACAAGCAACGTGACAGGAAGCGTGTTTCCTCCTCTACTGCTGGCAGCTTCTTCCTGGCTTCTGAACAACCCAATTACCAGGGAACAAGCTTCTTCCCTGTAATACGGATGGCACCTCCACTTCAGCATGGCGCTCACACACGTGCACAAGCATATACACACAGGACACCTGTCAGGCTCCATGCCGACAGATTCTCCGTACCCACACACAGGACTAGTGACAGCCCACAGCTATTAGCACGCCACCACTTTGAAGAGGTTTCACTTTCTTTTGCTAGTTATTTCCCCCTAATGTGCTTGCTCGCGTCGAATTCTTCATCTCCGCTTTTGAGTTGTTAAGTGGGAGGAAAAGTACTTTGGAGACAGGAATAGAAGATGGGACGTGTGAAGTGTGTGTGGCCAACACAGCAAGAGATTTGACAGTTATTGTCAGATTTCATATAAGGACGATACCACACTATGAGGGATTGAATTTGCTAATGGTACGTAATACTGAGCAGTGAATCCGGTTCTACTTGCCAGCTTGTTATCACTTATGAAAATGGACAAAAACAATGTGAGCACCTATCAGACCGGTACTCTGATCATATAACGTGATCTTTTGGCCTACATGCAGAACTGTGTTCAGCACCAAACTAAAATATGCTATCCCTGTGGTGAAACACAGTGGTGGCAGAATCGTGCTGTGGGAGTACTTTATTTCAGGACAGCTTGTTAGAACTGATGGAAGGATGTTTGATGAAAACCCATTAGAGATTGTACAAGTCTTGAGACTGGCATGTCACTTGTTCATCATTACATTAGCAGTGATTGAAATCATTTTTGAGTTTGGGTGAAATGTTAAATATCTTGTTTCCTCTTGAAATCTTATCTTCTAGGACCGAGAACATGCCGGTGATTGAAGAAAGTCCCGAGCGAGAAAATGCCCCCAGGGGCGTGAACAGAGTGAACGCAGCAGGTATGTGGCACATGCATGCACACTGACGCACCGCGCTGCGCAATGTGGCTTCAGATTTGCAAGATGTGCACTTTTAATCGACTGAGGCTTGACAGTAGGTCATCCTTAAAAAGGGACATGATAGCTCTGTCATCACTTTGAGTTCACTGAAGAGCACATAATGTATGAAGATGGTGATTGATTTGCAGCAAATTGGATGTTGCTGATGTTCACTCATCTGTATGAGCAACTCTGCTGAATAACTGAGGCAGCCAAGTATTTTCTTTTAGGTTGGACTGTTACCACTTTCCATATCACGCCTCCTTCCTTTTCCTTAGCAATTTGCATTAAAATCCAGAACAGTGCTTTCCGTTTTTCTCATGTCTTGTCCGCTTTTTTTTTTTTTAGAAATAACAAAAGTGTCACAGATGGAGATAATGGGTTTTTAACTTAAAAACAACCCTAACACATTAGTACTCAAAGTGTACCTTAGATCTCCATTTTAGGGATGTTAAACGCAGCAATTAGGGTACAGCTGCAGATATGCAGCGGCTCCACTGGTGGAACTTCCTGCAATTATAGGCAGCGCACTCCGTGTGAACTCTCGAAAGTGTCAAAGCTCATCTCTCCCTCCTCCACCTGATCAGAAAGGCCCTGTGCCGGTGCAAAAGAAGGGTGGAGGGTAAAGGAGAGGCACAGAAGGAGGGAGGGCTGAGGCGGGAGACTCAAGGCTGTTGGCATGTGTTGTTTTCCTACTACGTGATCTCTATACCAATGCGCTTGGCATTAATTTTTGATGAACCATTGGCACCGCATCCTCCCCTCTCGGCCTCTCATCCCCTCTCTTCTCATCCCCCTTTTCTCCCTTCTTATTTTTCCTGTTACAGGCACTTTTCACCCACATGTGTTAGCTTTCTTTCTTGTATTCTACACATCTTTGCTTTAGAGCATCTGACTTGCCTTGTGGAAGCCCTGTGTCTTTGTCACACTTGCTCAGAGGCCTGAGGGATTTGGGAGCAGCTTTTTTTTTTTTTTTCTCCCCCTGTTCTGTATTTGCTTCTTGAAGCTCAGCATGGATATCAATTTTAATGATCCTAAATATACTGCACATAAATTGTCAGACAAGAATTGCTAAGTTAAAAACCTGTTTGCATTTTGCCGTATGTCATTCCAAAGACTAACCATTTATGTCAATTTTTAGTCTTTCAAGTGTAATATGAAAAAGTTTTAAGTTTTAAAAATAGAAATTTGTCTGGGCATAATTTATTCCAGCAACAAAACAAATTCCTGATATCAAATATTGAAGTTCTTACCTTTTCTCTGCTTTTCTTTGAGAAAGATGACCAATTTTTTTCATGTTTTAGAGTTGCCTTGGTTTGTAGTTTTCCAGGGTTTTCAGAAGCGCTTTTAAAGGTTTCTCAAACTTTGGCTCTGCTTTATCTCTTTTTTTGTCTAGTCCTTGTATCTGACAGTTGTGTAGATACATGTTACCTCAAAAGAATCCAACAGGTGGACAAGTTTAAAAAAAAGGACAAGCATCCTATAGAAGAAAAAACCATAACTCAGTAGAAGTTATTTAGGAGAGAAAACTTTCCCAAAAAGACACAGGATCTCAGAAACTTAGAATTCATTTTCAATTTAAGAATAACCTTTGCTGTAGCGAAATGTTAATCTTCTGTGAGCTAAACATTGTCATCTTAGCTGTTTTATTAACAATGTCAGCCAAGAAAATTGGGAAAAGACGGTTTTGTAGGACATTGTACAAATAAAATCTGGTTTACAACAAACCATAATGCATTATAAATGATCTACAAATATGTGACAAAACATCCAACGTTCTAACACACTTCTGAAAGATTTTCTTATGAAAACTGTAAACTATTACAAGAAAGGCTGCAATTTGCTCCATTGCATTTTATTTGTCTTGTTCCAAATACGGGTTCTGATAGGAAAATATCATATTTGAACTACCGTAAGTAGAAACACATAGAAAATAGTGCCTTTCAGAAATACCAAAATGAATTTACTTTTTGAGGTACATACATTCCACATTTACATATCTTCAGTCTTTGGTGAGTGTTGAAAAGTGAAGCCATCAGTAAAACAAGAATTTTGCTTTCAGGCTGAAATGAGGACTGATTCAACATTTCATCTCTGAACTGTGAATCAAGACATCAGATAATCACACAATATTTTTAATTGTGTCCGTTATGTCTGTATTTTTCTGGCTCCTTTAGATTTAAACACTTTGCTCTCTGATTGCCTTAGTATGGTAAGCAAATAGACAGACACTTTTATTGAATTGTAATAGCTGGCACCACAACAAATATCAAATCCCCACCTGTTTCTGACATACTAGTAGAAATCACTCAACGTGGCTTTGTCTGACTTTAAGATAATGTAATGAGTTTTGTTATTTGGAATCAATTTAACCAATCCAGCATGTTACCTCATTGCAATGCAGAAGCATGCTTTACAAAATTGTGGCTTTCTAGTGAAAAAAGTCTGCCATAAAAATAGTTACTTTCTGTATTGAACATTTTGAAAATGTGCTTTGTCTGTTTTTTTTATTATTATTTTTGATTTGAAACAAGATTGATTTCCAAACCTACTTTACCTTTTTTGTCAAAACTACGTTATTGATGATCAGAGTATTTTTAACATGGGAAGAACTACCACAGATGGTGGCAGAAACGATTTCACCAAGAATCGTTGGCAGCTTTTAGATCTATGCTTTGTTCACCAGATAATTTACTGTACAGAATGCTGCCATGCAGAAACATTTGTCCTGTTGTCAGCACTTTATGGACTTTTGTCTCTACTTTGAGTATGAAAGTGTATTCAAATAGCTTTTAATTAAAAAAAAAAACTCGGAACAAAAAATGTCTGGAGCTATATTGTCCCTATGTGATCACAATATCCACAGCTGTATTGCCTTTGTCTTATTCTAGACTAGATCTTTTTTATGGCTTCATATGGAATTGTAATACTGTGACAGCAAAATCCTTTGATGGTTTTAAAAAAGCGTATTCTTTGTGACCACATGTGCATGCTGACCTTTGTCTTATTTTCTTTAAGCCACTTATTTAATTCAACTTATTTATAAAGCACCAATTCACTGACTTATTTTGAAAATAAGTTAGTTTTATTCATGCAAACATTTTTGATTCAATTGATTCTAGTTACTCAAGGATTCTTGATGAATGTAAGTTTAAAGGGTAAAAGGTTTTCTGTCTTGGGAAACTCATCAGATTGCACCGACTTGCAGCATTAACTCCTCCTGGGTGAGCACGATTGATTTGCTGTGAAAAACATATTTGTGCCATGTTACTTCATCATATTAAGAAAGATGGAGACATCTACAGCTCTTTAGTATGGTACAGAGAATAACTCCTTGTTTACTTATCTATTTCATACATACAGAGATAGTGACATGGACAATTCCCGGATGATCCATTTTGTTTGTCAGAGTCACAATTAAATGAAGTCGGTCCTCTTTTTGCATTGGTGGATTTCTGAACTGTTGGCTGCTAATGTTAATATCTCTTAAGGTTTTATTTATTTATTTATTTTTTCTCCAGTGGAGCTGCACTAATCTTGGCTTTGGAATATGATTTCCCTGCCATGACTTTTGGAGCCAGCAACAATAGTACTCTTCAAATAGTTTTAAATACATCCAATAACTGGCCACAGAATTCCCTCCTAGTACATTCCTGACAAATGGCATTGTTACAGGCACCCAGCAGCTTTTTGGTCCGGAGGATCAGCGGGCCAAACGCCGCTTTACAGGAGAACAGCAAGCAGACTGAGGGAATATAAAGCAGCAACACGTACATTTAACTTTTCTATTAAAGTGTGAAACGGGGGGATTTATAGAAAAGGACAGCCGGATTTATCCTTTCCGTGCTTGTAAATGCTGAGCATGCAATTACCCCTATAATAGAGGCGTTGTGTCCAAATTGGAGCCATTAAAGTGATTTAACACTGCGCGGATTGGTTCTGGCATTTGCGAGGATGTGTACACATAAGGTGCAGTGGAACGGTTGTTTAATCGCAGCATTTTAGCGCCCAGTAATTGCGCAGCAGTCCACTAAAACCCTGACATACCTCACTCTAAAGCTTACTCATTAAGGACTGTGGTTTGGACTTGCTTTCATTGTCTGTTTTGCTGCTTTTTATTTTTAATTCATGGATACGTTGGTTTGCTTTATTAATAGTTCCAGAAGACGTTACCTTGCAATAACAATTATGTAGCGTACTCTGAGTCATATTTTTCTACATTTTACAGATATTGTTTTATTTTATTCATCTGCTTTCATCATGTGAAAGGTGAAACAAATTATTCCAATCGTGAATAATTCCTCTGTCAGAGGAAGATGTTTTTAAACTTTATCCATGTTGTTATAGTATTGTCTCAGAGTACCTTCACTAATTTTAAAGTTTTATCATCTTAATAAATGAAAAATATAACTTTATACAGGCCATTATCTGCAGCTTATAAATTAGTTAAATATGTGGCCTTCTTTAAATGCAGTCTTCTGTTTTGTAAGCCTGGTCAGCAGCGCACTGGTTTCTGTTTGATGCTGGTTTATAGTGAGTTTTTACTTAGGCTTTATGTTTGTATCGGTAAGAAAAATTTAAATATGGATAATTTTTCATCTTAGAAATATGCATGAACGCATACCACCCTGTGTTTGGATGTCACATCAAATCTTGACAAAGTACCTTTAAACAGAAAACTGATGTACACCATTTTAAAAAATTTATTTTGTTTCTTTTTTCAGTTTTGATAGTTTTTCCTAATACATTTTTTTCTTTCTCATATTTGTAAGTATTATTGGCTGTAGTTTAATTCACAAAAGCTGGTCTTGAAAATGACTAGGATCCAGCAGAGACCGTATTATACAGAAAGGCTTTGAAATGCAAAGAAATTCTTTTACTGTCTACATCGCCCCTTCTTTTCTTACCCCTGCGTCTCTTCCATCCTTGTTGCCCCTCCTGTTACCCGTTTTCGCCCCAGTCTTTGGGGCGTGTGAGTGGTGCCCCTGTCTGGGGGAGACATCCTGGGGAGAACCAGTAAAGTATTTATTACAGGCTTTGCAAGTCTGCATTATACAGCCACTCATGCTTGGCCTTTAACTTCCTCTCTGAAGTTCAGCCATACATGAAAAAAGGAGGCTCCTGCTCCTAATATATTCCTGATATATATTTTTTTGTATTGTATCAAGAAAAAGTGGCGAATTCAAAGAGGAACGGAAATTGTGTTTAAAAATGTAAATTGAATCCTTTGAGTTTTTCTTTTCTTCTTTTTCCACTGTCTTTTTCTCTGGTAGTTTGTTGAATAAATATCACGTGGTGAAACTTGGAATGCCCAGTGGAGCTTTTGAACCCAAAATCTGTGAAAAATCCTTTCAGAGCCTTTGTGCGTGGGCTCTCTACCATAACTTCCTCTCAAGTAAGAATACAGAAACGAGCAGACAGGAAGCTGCTTTCTCACAAGTCCTTTTATACACTCACCGTCTGCCCTGATATTAACATTTTTGGTCAGGGATGTATCTAGAAAATCTTTGTTTCAGAGGAAAGAATGAGGCAAATTAACTGAACTATTTATTCATCTATAATTTATTTTACTCTCATCTCTTCTGCCCCCCCCCCCCTTTTTGAAAGATCAACCCCCTTTTCTCATCACTCCTTAAATCGCATCCTCATTGGTGGGTCTTACTTTTTAGGTCAGTTCTTTTACGTATTTGGGGACATTTCAGTGGTATTTTATTGGTGTGTGTTTCTCACGCATGGGGACTATGGGAAGGACATCAGGCACACCCTAATTTTGGATCTCTCTCTTCTCTTCCGCTTCTTCTCTCTCTTTTCGGTGTGTTTGTCCCTTTCTGTGTGTGTGTATGTATCTGTGTGTTTCCTGGATGAAGGCGAGACCCTCCTACACAGAGCTTGCAAGAGAAACCAAGTGGAAACGGTGCTTCAGATCCTGGCGCTTCCTGGCACAGACGTCAATGTAAAAGGTAAGACTCCCTCGCGTTTCCGTTTTTCTTGGAAACTCTCTCCGTGTTCCTGCAGCCGCACCGGCTGTTCTGGTGTTTTCAAAGAGCGATTGACAATGGGGGAAGAAAAGGAGCTAAGAAATCGGAGTGCGCCGTCTCCGAGGTTTAACCTTTAGCTAAAATGTAAAGGGTGTGTCTAGAAAGAAAGTGGGGTGGGTTTGGGGCTCCCTATGATTATAGATTTACATCAACCTTGATGAGTGAACATAATTTTTTTTGATATTTTGGAATGACTTTTGGTAAAATGTAATAACTTCTCATTCACTAATGGAAATGTGCAGTTAACAAAGGGATTTCTGATATTTTGGTTGGTGTTAGAATGCTTAAGGTGGTATCTCAACAGCTACCTGATTTTCAACACCTGATCAAACAAAGCTATTGTATAAATTATAAAGGTTTTTGAAGTTTTCTCCCCCAAAAATCTAATTTCTAATTTTTTTCTGTTTGAATGGTTAAAAGAGCACAACTGTGAGAATCTCTTCTGAAGAAATATATTCTGCTTTTTGAGTTTTTGGACCTTCAGAGGAATTGAAAAGTACATTAATAATCAATATCATGTTAATGAGAAGTTTGTAAGACACGCATTTGAGTCTAAAGACATTGTGCTTCATGTGTTTCGGGCTGTCCTACAAACCAAGTCATGAGAAAAACTACATGACAGCATAGTTTAGGTTTTTTTTTATTTTTATTTTTTTTATAATTTTATCAATTCAAAATATTCTTGCAGCATATTCAGTATTAAAGCTCATACATAATGTCTTCTCTAAGTTTTGGCTTAAACAAGTTTTGTTTGTGTGCTTGCTTTCTTTGTGTGTGATTGGTAGACCATGCAGGCTGGACTCCTCTCCATGAAGCATGCAACCATGGCAGCACTGAGTGTGTGAGAGCATTGCTGCATCACCATCCCACCCCTGTCCTCACTGACCAGGTCGCCGGCGTTAGTCCTCTGCACGACGCCCTGCTGAACGGACACTTGGACATTGCTAAAATGTTACTGGAACATGCAGGTTAGTCAAATACTACTTGAAGGTGGTCACTTGCTCAGCTTGATTGCTTTCTAACATTAATGGTAAATCCCCTTTTTAGCAGTTTGTTGTGTTCTAGTGTGTCTGATTTTCTCTGAAAACCAGCAGGACAAATATCTGTTAAAGGCTAAAATAGTTTCTGTGTACAAACAGTTGCCTTCCAAAACACAGGTCTCAAGGAAGAGATGGAAACATTAAGTCAAACATCTCATTACACCCTGCAAAGTTTTCTTTAAAGAAAACTGAACCTTTGTGCTATTATTATATAGCATTGTGAACAAAAGTGTGAAATCAGTTTTAACAGGGAGAATATGACTCAACTAAAGTTTAAACATATGTTTATGAAAGAAAGCATAGATTTTGTAAGATGATGCTAATGTATGTATAGCAATGTATAAATGGTGGGTCAGCAATCTGTGAAGTTCGAAGAGAAACCAGTGACAAAGATGTTAATGGTCATTGATATTTCTCATGAAAATGAGAACTTATTGAATCATTTGAGACAGTGCATTTTGAGTTTTTTTATTTTTGAAAAAAAAATACTGTTCTCATGGAGAGCTTTGTTCAGCAAAATTTGATCTACACTGTAATAGTTCATGATTTGAAAATGATCATCATTTGCTTTGACCATTTAGGAAAATCTGAGAAAATATCACTTGCATAATAATTTGGAACACGGTTTGGTTGCATATCCATGATGCAAATCCACCACATCTTAGAAGAGACCAGGATAACTTCCCTCCACCATCAGCAAACCTCCACCAAAGGCCTAAACCATTGATACAATGCGGGATGCAGCTAAAACTGCGGTCTTATACTGCTGAAGCACATCTACTTCAAGATTCAACACGATGCGCTTTCAAAGATGGTAGCCTGCATTTATTTTGCAAATGGACTAAAGTCTCTCTCGCCCCCTTCTAGGCAAAAGTCAAGTTTTGCAAGTTACCTGTCTTTAATAGGTTGTTTTTCTTCAAGGGTTCTGCATGTGTTGTTCAAAGTTAAGTAGAGAATCCTAAGATTCATAGATTTTCCCTCCCAATTTCAGTTGATGGTGGTCCCCTATGGTTGCACCATTTGTTTGTTTTCTTGTGTTTTTTTTTTTTTTTTTTTTTTTTTTTTTTTGCTGTAAGTATGTCTGGATCATAAATATCACCTTCCTTTGTCTCCTGCTTATTTCTATGATCCACGTGCTACTTTGCAGTGAGCAGACCTTCCAAACACATTAGAGCCTCTTCTCATAAAATGTCTGCTGACGTCGTTTTGACAAGATTAACCAAGGCAGAATTGTCCGCTTGCAAATTTCACTCTCAGGTCTTTCTTGGGAAATGTGTCACAACAGGACCAGTTTGCGCATCTTCATGTGAACGTGCCACATGCAGTCTGAGCTCAGGGAGGATTGAAGCGAACGTGACGGGTGTTGGGTGCATGGCAGCAGGTGGCGGAGGAAACACGTGTGTGTGTGTGTGTGTGTGTGTGTTGGTGAGTTTCGAAGGGAGGAGTGCTATTTTCCAGCAATGAACAAGTCTCTCATGTAGCATACCTCTGCCTCAGCACACTTCTCAGTTTGACTAATTATAGTTAATTTGATTTGACTTTCCCATTAACACATGTACATATTCTGTCCTCAAAAAATAAATTAGACTGGGATTGTTTAGTCCCGGAGAGGAAACAAGAGAGCGCTCCCCTTTTTTTTCCCTTTTTTCTCCCTTTCTTAGTAACAGGAGAGAGCAAATTAAAAGAGGTCAGATGAAGCATGCTATCTGTATCGGTAAAATTAGAGGAGCGAGAAATCAAATGTACATGGCTGTTTATGTGAGAAGCAGACGTCTGGCTTTACTGTCTACGCCAGGTCTTTTTTTTTTTTTTTCTGGACTGAACAAAACAGCAGATAAGGGAATTGTCTCAGTTTGAAACACCCTTCAGGCTGGTGCATTATCCCTCTTTCTCTCATCTGTTCTCTGCTGACTGTTTGCCGTTTCCTCCCACCTTGATGGTAGGTTGTCTGAAGGCTACAGCAGGGAGTTGGTGAGGAGGTGGTCCTCCTGACTTCGGGCTATGTTGTCTCACACTGTCTTCTTTCCATGATCTACATTTGGTTGCCATAGACACCTTCAATAAGTTCCCCTCCCTCTTTTTCTTTCTTTTAAGATCTTCAAGTCCAGGCTGTTAAATGTAAAAAGTTTTAGCTTACGGGGGTAGATGATGTTTAGTTATCATAACCATCCTTGCTGTTGACTATAGTTTTTCTTTCCAACGTTTTGTGCTGGTGGCTGCATATCAGTCTTTTTTGTTTGTTTTTTCTTTTTTCTCCTCTTTGGCCATGTAGGATTTCTGCACTGTTCCAGGGTAGGAAACCAGGCCAGTGGGCCAGACGCATTTCCATTCCTCGGTCTCCTTATTCATTATATTCATGCCTGTTTTATTCCTGCGAGTGCCAGCTGCAATCCCAGAAACCATATTTCATTGAGGCATTCACCCCATTGTCCTAGTTGTTTCCAGCAGACAACCTAGTTGCCAAGGTTTTGGTAGGCCAGAGAGGGCAACACTGACACTGGCACACCAACAAAGCCTTCAGTTACGAGTGATCTCACCCCTTTTGTAAGCCTGTCTGTCCGCTCGGAGGCCTGCACTCTGCATGCAAGTGGGTGCTTTTTTACAGCTATATTGTACGCCGGGGTGAAATGGGTAGATCCCCCTCAGTCCCTCCAGGCTTACGAAGCTGGCAATGAAAGGATGCCATGGCTGAGGGCAAGGCTGACTCTGCTCTCCTCTCCCCCTCCTTCCTTAGCCCAAGGCCGCCCCACATGACCCCTGTCTATGAGCTTGGCTTGTTTTTCACTCAAAACTGAAGTGTCCTTGGCTATGTATTTTGGTGTATGTATGCACCAGTGCTATCCTTCATCTCAAAGCGTGCTGTAAGCATAAGCAAGTTTGCAATTAGCTGTTGGACAGAGAGAGTGTGCTGATGCTCCTTTTGCCCCTTTCTTCCTCAGCTGCTTTTCAGAGGCTATACTGGGCGACTAGAGTGAAAAATGACCTGGGGGCCACGGCGGTACGGCTTCGATCTGGCATGCAGAGGAGGCGTGTCAGTTAGGAAAAGGTGGATAAATAAAAAGAAAGGATCCTTTAAACTGCCTCCATCCAACCGCTGCACAGTAATCAGCAGTTGGACTAATGCAGTCCTCTCAGTGTTATTTGGCCTGCTATTAACCATAGTTAGCCCACCCAAAGTTACAAATACATATCAGATTTTAACTCTTGAAGAGGATTGCTTAGCTGTTCCTGGGGAGAAATCAGGGAACTGATATATATGAAACATATATGAAACTTTAATCTTTGTCTAATCTGTGAACCCACCATACTTAAGCAGATACCAGCTAGTAACAGCAAAACTCTAGCTGTTTATATGGTTAGAGAGATGTTTATAATGAAGCCAGCGAAAAGAGAGGCCATGTCGTATTTTCTACAACATGGTCAGACTTGTGTCTGGTTGAGAGAAATCAAAATTTTTAGTAGATAACAAGAAGGTTGAACACTGTAGAATTGTGCTCTGTTTCATGTCATGAGCTTTCAAAGCTAAATTTTTATCTTGGAGCTTTTTTTATTTGGATTTTGATAGTTAAGATAACTTTCTTTTAAGTTTGTTCTTTAGAACATTTGTTCTCAAACTATTCATAAAAAGTACCAGTTGAGTAAATTATATGCTTTCCAATTACTACCTTGCAGACAATGATAAAAACAGGACTTATTTGTTTATGTAAACCTCAAAATTGGGCTTTTTTTATATAAACTTTATGTAGGTAGAGAAATAGATATGTAAATGAACAGGAACGTCCCCTGAAGACAGAAAAGTCAAGTTTTACTCCAAATTCAAATCAAATATGACTGCCCTGTGTTTAAAATTTAGTGATAACTGCAGACATGCAAGTTCTGCAGATGTAGTTATGTGTGTGTTTGTGGGGTTTGAAGGGACGAGAGCATGCCACTACATCTTCCACACCAATGCCATAATACGACATGTGGTAATAAACATATCCATTCTGCATCTGAATACGTAGTGTAAAAAAAATGGTGTTAGTATAATATGTTTCAAATTGCTAGTTTGTCACTGAACACAACAGCTAAGAGATCCCACCAGTCGGCCAAACACTGAGTTGAATATAATGTGATTGCTGTAATGGTTTAATGTTTGAACTTCAGAGGTACAAATGTAAGCAGAAGCAGGTTTTCCTCGTTCACTGCTGTCCAGTTTAAGTTAAAACAAGGCTAAACCTGGTTTTCTTGAAATGTTGTGGTCTGCACATTTCAAAGTAAAAGTCTGGGTTTGTTTTGCGTCAACATTCCAAGTCTTTGGCAGTTTCCTATCGACCGTGTGTTTTTGTTATGCAAATATTTCTGGTGAGTATCAATGATGCTTGCACCAACGTTTTGGAACAACGTCTGTGCTATTTTAATTATGCTAGCTTTACTAACTATAAAGATGCTAAAGACAAGTTAAGATTTCAGCTCTGCTCTTGTTTCTCTTTGTTTTAAAGTAATGATAAAAGCTTGTTTTATAACAGAAACTTTTCTCACGCATAAGTTGTCTTTGTTGCTTATGTGTGTAAATAATTAATTGCGGCTAATGGCGTGAGGGTCTGAAAACAATATTTTAATGCTGTTTCTTAGCCCTTATTATTTTGAAAGAGGAATTGTATTTCGCTGGTATCTGTACTCCCATTTCAAAAACATGTAAGAATCTGCAGTTGAAAACTCCACGAAACTGTGCGTCAAAGGACATTTTGTGCTTTTATTTATTTATTTTATTTACATCTGCAGAAGCAGGTACAAGGTGCTTCAATCTCTCTTACAAAAACACATGCTTAATGCAGTGAATCTACTGGACTCCATCTGATGTTGAGTTGAACAAGTGTTTGTGGAGAAGAAAGATCTAAATAACTGACTTTCATACCATCAAAGTCACTTATGATTCATAGTCAGCA